AGAATAGCACATTGGCTATTCCTTCTCGATCCAACCGAGGAAACACTCACGCAAAAGCCGATCTGACATCCAACAGTCCAAATGGGCGTTCAAGCCCGGCAGGTTCCAATGCAAGCAGTGCACATACGATGAAAACGACCCATACTACTGCCAGCACTCTACCTAAAGTCAACGTCCGAGAGGTGGCCCCATGGATCGACTTCGATGCTGACCTGACCATCCCTGAGCCGTCCGAAGAGCCGCTGATAATCCATCAACGGCCCATCATTGCTCAAACGAACACCACCCCAACAAGTTCACTTAAAGCCCATAATACTGACTCGCCCAAACTCCAATCTAGAGAGCATCTGCATAGTCCAATTAAAAGCACTCTTTCGTCTATTCTTACCGAGCGCCATTCTGACGACCGACAGGAGAAGAGGCACGAGGGCGACTTCAAGGGCATGCTTGGGGAAGTCCTTAGTCCTCGGCATGTGTCGAAGAAGGAGAAGAAAAAGAGTGAAGCTCCTCGCAAAAAGAATCTAATGACCAGGCTATTTGATGGTATTCTGGATGACGACGACAGTGAACTGGACGGATCATCAATGGAGACGAAGACCAGTTTCTCCAAAACCGACCCAGGTATACGGAGACACAGGTCGGTAGACCTTTCTACAACTTGGGAACAGATTTCGCAGCCCTTTTCTCGTGTTTCACTCAAACCATTCAGCGCAGATAGCCATCTCAGGCTACCTCGTAGTGACGCTATCGGCTTTGCCAAAGGAACAGCTCACCTTCTTTCTTCTGATACGACCTCGAATAACACCAATACATCTGTTTCCACTAATGTTCCTAATGAGGAACCCTTCATTGAGAATCCGACTACACAACGACACACTGCAATGCCAATATCGATGAAGATCCTGATCTCACAGTCTAGATCTGCGACTACTGTTAGCAGTGCGATATGCACACCTATTTTGGGCCGCCCTGATTCTCCGCTCAAGTCCACTGACGAAAGGTCACTGGCGGAGACTAAATTGAGGGAAATAATAGAGTAGCTGCGAAATCTAGAAATCGAGACAGAGTCGAAATGCTCTGTTATCGACTTGAAAGAGACCAGCAAGTAGGACTAGCAAGACAGTAGCGTAGAAGGAGTATCAGAGGATATTGCGATAACAGCCTCCATACCTACATGTATGTGTGAGAGGAGGTTTTTCGCTTCAGTAGAAAATCCCTAGTATCAATCTTACTTTTCCTGCATCTAACTACTACTACTACCAAAACACCAATTACGTATCACAACAGTGCACCTTCCGCCTCTGACATCATACCCTCCTGTTCCTGTCCCCACTCACTCCCCATCTTTTTACTAACAGTACGCCTCTCCTGGGCCTATATTCCGGTCTATCCGGCCCTAGACTATGGCCACCCACGAGTACGACCGACGAACGACCGAAAGGAGGAGAGAGAGAAATTCGAAGCCAGGAAGCGAGTTCGTGATACGCATCCAACGAAAAGGCCAGTGTAGTACATAAGGCTATTCGTATACGTAAGTGTATACATGGGCGTAACCATCGTACATGCATACAAATACATAGTCCCTGCATGCAACATCAAGTACAATCAACTACGTAGGCGGCTCATCCGCGCCTCTCTGTCTCTCAGCTCCCCTCCTCGGGTACCTTCGCGCCGCCCGCACATTTGCCCAGCCCGTCTGTGCACAAAAAAAAACAGCCAATTAACCGCAGAACACGCTCGCTGGCGCGGCTAAAGTACGTATGCGGTCTCTGGTGCATATGCAATAGAAAACATGTACATGTCGCTTGGAAACGTCTACGTTTGAGGCTGAGCCTCTCTCGCTTGTCGTGAACAATTTGACCAATCGATCCCAGACAAGGTTTCATAATCGGAAAGAATTTTTTTTCTTTCTGTCGTTCCCTTCTCCTGTGTGATTTTTTTTTGGGGGGGGGGGGATTAAGGGCAAAATAGGGATGCGGTTTGCTAATTGGCTAACAAATGCCTCTCTCTCATTCTCTTATCTCTTGCAAACAGGAATCAAAGGAACCCATGGGATGGTCCGTGTTCTATGTGTGCGACCGTGCGCGCTTTTTTTCTTGCTACTATGACTCGCTATGTGGATCGGGTTTGTTGGGGCTGGCAATGTTGCAGTTTGCGGTGCTACTCTCGGCGATACGGGGGAAACTTCTCTCACACATACTACCAGGTCAGAATCCTACGTACTGCATTGTCTCTAGTGCTTAGTGGTGAGGAAAGGAGGCTGTGTAGTATGTACAGGAAATCGAGGAGGGGTATCAAGATTGCATTACTGGGAAAAAATAACAATAACGTCTTATACAATGAATGCGCTCGATATCTCATTGCAAAGTCGAGATTGGAGGACAACAACTCATGGAGTTTCGCCCTCTTTCACACTTCTTTGGCGTGATGCTATCATCGTACACATTAGAGCATCTCTCTTAGCGACTTGCCATGCTGGCTCTCCTAGCCTCAAGTATAGCGTCCTCGTGCGTTGGGGGTCCCTCGTAGTTCTTCTTACCCCAGACGAAATACCAGATGGTTGAGACGACGACGACAGCGGCAAGTACAACGGAGGCGTAGTTCATAGTTGCGGGGGTGACTTCGCGGAAAGTGGGCATGCAGAAGAGAGGAGTGGCAAGGGCAGACCAGGCTGTAGAGATTGTTAGTTTCCACTTGACTGTGGGCGTATACAGTAGAACATACCAAGAGCGACAACGTTGCAGAAGGTACCAAGCATTCCGAGGTGGAATTCTCCAGTCTTGACTTGCTTGCGGCCGGTAAGGAGCGAGACCAGGATAGGGGCTGCATAGCTCAATGTCAAGCAAATGACACCAACACCAGAGAAGGCATTGAAAGCGGCGGCGGCACCGAAGTAGATAACACCAAGGATGATCTGAATTCCCATGCTGAGCATCATGGCGTTGAGCGGCACGTCAAGCTTGGTGTTGACAGTCCTCCACAGCTTGTAGCCTGGGATAGCGCCATCACGAGAGAAGGCCCAGGTAGCACGAGATGCAGCAGTCGTGCATCCGATACCACAGATCAGTCCTAGGACAAGGAGGGGAACGAGCAATCCAATAGTTCCACCAGATGATCCTACTGCACTCTTGATAATGACGGGTACGGGCTGGCCAGAAACCAAAGCTGCGAGGTCGGCCTGGTTGGGGAGAACGAATACGAGAGGGATGAGGAAGACAAGGCCGCAGATAGTGTTCAATGCAACGGTGGCGACCATGGCTTTGGGGACTTGGGTGGCTGGCTCTCTGACTTCTTCACACATCCTATGTCAACTGTTAGCATTTGACTTGGTTTGGGTGGGAATTACTGCATATGGACAAGGCGGATGTCGCAATGGTATATGGGCTGCTAAGGGTGTGTCGCATAGGAATTGTTGCTTGGGAAGTGTCGCTTGGGAGTGTGCATTGGGCAGGAACAAGCTGTTTCAAGTTGCTTGGGCAGGCAAGGGGAGGCTCACGAGACGATCATTCCGGTGGAGGAGGTTGCGTAGGCAGCGTGGAGGAGTCCGACCATGAAAGACCATCCAGGGACCCATCCAGAGTTAGAGGGATCGAATTCAGTAAAGACGTATTCGGCGCTTCGACGGCCATTCTTCGCAATGGCAAGGACGCATATGACAATGGCAATCACACCGGCAAAGGTCCAGAAAATGGCAAAGGTCTGTTCGAGTGTAAGTGATGCGCATACAGCAAGGGAGTGAAAAGGGCAATCTCACATCGAGCCAGGGCAAGTACTTGTTGCCAAAGGCAGACACGCAGTTGCAGAGGAGGGTGATGGCAAGGAAGATGAGGAAAACTTGGTAGGGCTCGCCTGCCAGTACGCCAACACCTGGAGAGGATTCGTAGACATTGACGCATGCCACGACGAAGAGAGCGGTAGCAAAGTTGACCGAGAGAGTAATAGTAATGTTGCCGACTACGAAGCACCAACCACATATCCACGAGGCGATTTTGCGGTAAGCGGGGGGCGTAATCATGAAGGTTTGGTAGTAGACACCACCACTGGTGGGGTAAACACTGGTAATCTCGCCGAGGGAAGCGGCAACGGCGAGGATGATGAGGGATACAGCGAGCCAGCCCCAGATGATGTTGGTAGGGCCACCACCAACTACAGGATAGTAAAAGGTAGTTGCCAAACCGTAAGGGACGGAAGCCAAAACGAAGGACATGAAGGCGACTTGGGCAGTTGATCTTGAGCGCACCAGTTCGGCCTTGTAGCCCATGGCAGCGAGGAGGCCATCTGGATCGTTGTTGCCAGCAACATCGTCTCCAGAGCCCGAGTAGGTGTTGCCCAACTTGGAGTCCTTGTCGATGCCATTGGGGCGCAGGGCATGGCCGTGGTCAGCGGCATAGGCATCCGACTGGGTGCCGTAGCGGTAGTCAGACATGGTGGGCGTGTCGCTATCGTCTGTGAAGAGGGAGCCTGGAGTCGGAATGGGCCTTGGAAGTTGTCGCAAAACAAATGTCTGTGGCATGTGCCAGACGGCGGATCAGCGCAGGCTTTGAAGGGCTGCAGAGGAACGTCAGTGGGCGCATGGTCCAAGGCGACTAGACAGTTTGGAGACAAGTCTTGTCAGGCTACCCACACGAATGTCGGATGGCAAAAAGTGTGCCGAGCTTGGGATCCAATTGCTGGCGGGACGGGTTCGGATAGGGCTCCCCAGAGGGTCTTGGAAAAACACCGAGCATGTGGAAAGCAGGCCCTAATGCATCCACGCTCCGCGCTCCACTGCCTGGGTAATGAGAGGGTTTCTAGAAGTGGGCCAGACGTGGCGCTGCTGCGAGCCGATGATGAGCCGGCCGCCTGACGACATGCTTCAAGGAGAGTCCCTAGCAATGGCAATGCAACGCTGACCAAGGGCCAGCATCAAGCAGAGGCATGCGCTGATGATGAACGTGTGGGGAGTGAAGAAGGCATTTTGCAGCGCGCCGTGTTTGAATCTTGCGCCGAACCAATAGGACATGTCCGAGTGCATCTCCCAAGAGGGCCATGGCAGCCGCCCGCTTCGGCTCACACTCCAGATTCTGGCAGCGATCCGGGGCTACGGTCGCCCAAGCTACTCTACGTTACTGTTACTAGGCTGGAGCTGCATGGGCTCGTATCCGTGGAGCAAGTGTATGAATAAGGGGGGACAGGTAGGTAGAGAGGCTGATGCATTGATGGTGACAGTGGCTCTGCAAGACTTGTCCAGCTGTCTCGCCGGCCGAACGCGCCCTATAGTGTCAAATGCGGTAATGGCTATCAATGGGGTGGGGGGCACTGGAGCCATGGTGTGCATGTGTGGAGCAGCGCCCGGTATAAAGCGGAGATGGAGAGAAGGGGAGGCAGAACATACTGCATATACATACACAGATTCATGATGCATCACGAGATTGTCGCTCTTGAGAAGCAGCACCAGCCCCTCCCCGTCGACGGCTTCGCTTTTGCCCCGGGCACTACCTACAACCTCACAGCCTACGAATCAACCTCGTCGCGTGACCAACTTCACCAACGCATCCGCAATGCCACCATCATTATCGTGACGACAATTAGATTGGATGCCGAAACTTTGCACCCCACCATTACCCCCAATCTGCGCTACATAGCCGTCTCCGCAACAGGCACCGACCCAGTCGACCTCGATGCCTGTCGGTCACGCAACATTCGCGTAACAAACTGTCCGGGGGCTAATCTGGACGCCGTCTCAGAACACGCCATCAGCCTCTATTTCGCTGCCAGAAGGCGCACCGTGTTGCTCGACCGCATAACGCGAGCACAACCGAGCGAATGGAAAGACAAGGGTAGTGTCAACCACTACATGCGCCTTCCGGATGGCAAGCCACCCATTACGTGCAGGGACGAGGTCATGGGTGTTATCGGATACGGTGGTCTGGGTGCGTTTTGCTCGTTTTCCCTGCCCTGTTTAGGATGCAAGATCCTGGGCTGATCATAACCAACGACCACAGGCAAAAGGATAGCTGCATTGGGCAATGCACTCGGCATGCGCGTACTGGTTGCGAGTCGCAAGACACCCGCCACACCTGCACTCAGTGACATTCTTCCGGCCCCCGATACATCTGATGGCCGCATTCCTTTTGACGATGTCCTCCGCCAGTCTACCGTACTCGTCTTGTCGCTGCCCCGAACTTCTGAGACGCTCAATCTCATCTCCACACAGGAGCTCGCCAAGATGCATCCATACTCTGTCATCATCAACATAGCGCGGGGTGGTATCGTGCATGAGGCAGCTGTCGTCCAGGCTCTCAAGGAGAAGCGCATCGCCGGCTATGCCACTGATGTCTATCAAGTGGAGCCTGCTGGTGGACCTGAAGATACACCATTACTCGAGGAGGAGACGAAGGATCTGAACATCACCATGAGCCCGCACTTAGCGTGGTTCTCGCAAAGGACTATTAAGAATCTGGGGGACATCTTGAAGGAGACAGTAGAGGGGTGGGTAAGTGGCAACGAGATCAATGTCGTTGTATAGCAAGCCCCATACCCAAGGGCGAGAAACCGTGTCTGGTTTGTTATCTTTGAAGCCAATTAGATTCAGATCTCAACCCAGCCAGCCTAGAGATGACGGAAAACAATAAACTCTGGTACCGAGTGTACGGGCATATGCAAGACCCCGCGCCACATGCCTGGGATGATGTTGATGTTGTGGCGTTGAGGCTTGATGGTTGGAGTGTCGTCGGATTGGTGCAGGCCACGTGACTGATGATGAAACCCTAGGACCCCTGCTTGGCGGTTGCAAGGCAGCGGCGCATCGCCTCGGGCCATCAACTAACATCACGTCGGCTCTCTCTACGCGTCAGAACATCACCAATAACACCCTCCGCCCCCTCGAGCCGTCAATTCTTCCGCGCACTGCCATCCCTCGGTGGGTGTCGCGCGCACCTTTGCGCCCACCCTTTGTATCCCGCAACTGCAAGCCTTCCAGCCGCCGTCGGCTCTGGTTCCCCCGGCGGCAAGCCCGTCCCACAGCCGCCCCACCGACATATTCACCAGCTCCAGCTCCGTTACCACCACCATGTCGGGTTCAGTTGCAGTTGCACGCCCGTCGCAACCTCCACGTTTGCGTCGGGAGTCCCAACGACCCGGAGTCGCGCGCACCGCCACCCGCCAGTCCAACATGGAGGACGACAGCGCGAAGCCAGAAGAGGCCAGGAAATTTGGTATGTCCTTCGCCAAAAGGAGCATATGCCTTGCAACAACTAACATGTGGCCCAGTATACACGCAGCAAGATATCCTGGCCAAGCACAAGGGAAAGCCGCCTTCCCTCCGCGTATACCTGCACCCCAAGCACTTCCGTCTCAATGACTCCCAGGAGACACTGTCATATGCTTCGCCCATGCGCGAGCTTCTCCAGGCTATCAAGGACAAGGTGGTACCCCACAACATGGTAGAGGAGCTGTATGAGTTCAATACACCCTGGTACGACAACTGCCTCATTGTCGAAGTGCACGACTACCGCTCGAGCGGTGTGAAACCCAAGGACGATGCCAACAACACTGGAGAAGGGTCCACCAACGCTTTCTCAATCCATAACTATAACAACTTCATCACTCCATCTCCTTATGCTCCCTTTCCAGTCAACAAGCCTGAACAGAAGCCTACACAACCACCGGTTCAGAGCAAAGATGAGGACGTCAAAGAGGACAAAGAGAACATGCCTGCTCCTGGCCAGAACGGTACGCCAAACAAGCAGGCAGGACTCGGCAAGGTCAGGACCGTGGTACTCTTCCCAACTCCGCTGTCACACTTGGCCGACATACAGCTACTGGCTACGACGCCTGTTCCAGATATGGCCGCCTTGAAAAGGATGCAGGCTCAAGGCAGAGCTGCAGGTATGCCGCCAACCCCGATGACCGGTGTACCTTCGACGCCGACCTTCCCCAACGGCCCCAGCCCGAAGCGCCAAAAGATGGTCCTCGACGACACCAATCTTCACGAGTTCGAAGCCGAAGTCTTGAACACTACCTGTCCACCGCTATATTTGGAACCCACTAAGAGTTTTGGAGAATCGCTTGCACTCATGGATGCTATTACGCATCCGAACAACAAGAATCCTGCGCCTCCCCGCAAGACCCGCAAGAGGACGACTGCTGAATTGGCTGCTGACGAAGCTGAAGCGCAGGGTCTACAGCGTTTCATGCTTGCTGGTGACGAATTCCAAAGCGTCATGGCAGCCGCAGCTACTGGAAATGATGACAACGCAGTGCGTGCAGCCGCCAACTCGCAAACATTTGCACGTTTCAAGACCATTGCCAATATCCGGGCCAATCATGAAGAGAATGATCGACGAAAGAAGGAGGAGGACGCTCGCATTGCTCAGGCTAAACGACAGGCACAAATGGAGGCGGAACTTCAGAGGAAGAGGGAATTGGAGAGCAGACAACAGGCTGAAGTTGCTGAACGTCAACAAGCCGCCCTTCGGCAACAAGCACAACACCAGGCGCAGCTCCAGCAGAACCAATTGCAACAGACTCAATTGCAGCAGAACGAAGCCTTACGGGCCGCTGCGGCAGCACAGCACCAAATGGCGAATGCTGCGGCAGCACAAGTTACACAGACGCCTCAATCAGCAACACAGTCCCAATTTTCGCCAACGATACGCCAACAGACACCCATGACTGCCTCTGCGGCATCCCCACGGGTCGGTGGTCAAGCCTCACACCCCATTGGGGGCACTCCAATGGTGCCGTCGGCTTCCAACCAGGCCATCAACAGTCCAGCGCGACCGCCGTCTTCTATCTCCCATCACCAGAACCAAATGGCCCGATCAATCAGCCAGCAACAAAATCCAAGCCGCACTGGTACACCCCATATTGTTCAGGGTACCCCAGTCATGAACCCATCAATGCCGAATCGTAACATGACGCCTACGCCGAGTCGCATGAATCAGAATAGCCCATCTATGGCGATGCAAGGCCAGACACCGATGATGATGCAGACACCCCAACCCGGTCAAAACATGACCCCCGAAGCAATGCAGCAGCTTCGTGTGCAACAGATGCGGATGCAGCAGCTGCAGCAACAAGGAGGATCTCCGGGTAATCAACAACAACAAATGCAGCAAATGGCATTCCAAAAGGCCCAGCAACATATTCAGCAAACTGGTGTCCCTCCCAATCAAAACCCGCAGGCCTACCGCCAGCAGCTGGCACAGCACTATTTCCGTCAACTGCAACAGCAGCACCAAAACCAACAGCAGCAGCAACAGCAAATGGGCATGCAAAACATGTCAACCCAAGGGGCCATGCCGCAAAACGCTATGCCTCAACAAGGCATGGCTTTTGCTAACATGAGCTTGCAACAGATGCGGTTAAGGTATCAGCAACAAAAGGCAACAGTTATGCAGAATTACAGCAACACGCAAAGCATACCCCCACAGATCATGCAGCAGATGCAGCATATGGAGCTACAAATCAAGCAGCGGGAACAACGCGAACAGCAACAGGCGCAGATGGCACAGATGCAGAATGGCATGGGCAATCAAATGAACGGGGGTCAAATGGGGGGCATGCAGAATGCCAACCCTGCCAATCCAATGCAAATGCAGCAGTATCAACAGCTTCTCCAACAGCAACGCCAGGCAGCCGCAAATCAGAACCGAATCATGCAAATGCGCCAGCAGGCCATGGCAAATGGTGGCCAGTTACCGCAGGGTATGATGGGCAACATGAATGCCATGGGCGGCATGCAAGGCACGATGCAAGGCATGAACGCCATGGGCAACATGGGAAATGTCCAAGGCATGAACATGGGCCAGATGGGCCAGATGAACGGCGGCATGGGCGGCATGCAAAACGGGCAGATGAACACTGGTATGCAAGGCATGCAGAACATGCAAGGTATGCAAGGTATGAACCAGATGAATCAGATGAATCAGCAGCAGATGCAGCAGATGATGATGATGCGCCAAGCACAGCAGCAGGCTCAGCGGATGGGGCAACCGGGCGGTCAGCAAGGCGGCGACATGGGATGGACTGGTTAACCAGCGTGAGCCTGCTTAAGAGGAGAACTCGGTCGATGAATACCGTTATACCCTGCCGTTGTTTTGTGTTTCATTATCCTTTGGCGTTTTCTTCCAGGAAACGGAAAACAATCCGAGATCTGGATTGGATACCAATGGGTGTTTTGGGAGCATTTGCAGGGCGAAATGAAAAAAAGAAAGTTGCTTCAAGATACCCCTGGTCTGGGATGGGTTTCCGTTTTTTTATGGCAATTTTGTACTGTTTTCTCGCCAGCGCTGTTGATGTGGTGCGGTTTGGTGCCGCATATTTCATCTGGAAATGTCCATAGTTTTACTTTCTTGTAGCGATTTATAAGTAGCATCTGAAATGACATTGTTAGGAAGGAAAGCATATAGTTGAATGATGTTGATTTATGAGTGTATCTTGTTGGACTTCAGTGACAAATTCATTATTCTCCTGGTCTTGGCGAACATGTTCCGCCAGCCACAAAGTTTCTTCTGCATAGTGACGTCTGGCAAGTGGGAAAAACAAACATAATGTGCATCAACAACTTGAACCATTTCTTAATCAACCCTGTTCATCACTTCCAACTTGGCAGTGGATACGAAGTGTTTGTGCCGTTCATTTTCTTTAACGCTACTACTATCATACAAGACAATTTCCATCCAGTTTCTAGCATACGCTGACATTTACTTTTCAGCAGCTACAGGGCAACTTTGGCGGCTATGCGATAAAGTCACCCGTAAATGTAAAGTTCTGCGGACTCGATTCGCCGCAGTGCCTTGGTTTCGAACACTATTTCTTCGAAGCGGCCTGAGCAAGGTCGGCGAGAGCCTCGCGGCGCTTGAACTTGGCGTCTTGGATCACACCTAGAGTATGTTAGCCTGGAAAGTAAAATCAAAAGAAAGCGAGTACATACTGGCATCAGCGTCACTGCTGAAGTTGCCAGACCATGTGACGAAAGTCTGTCCCTGGTGCTTGCCAGATGTGACGGGGTATGCACGAATGGTAGAGACGACCGAAGAGTATGAGAGCTCTGGCTTGGAAGTAATGACGGAGTACGTAATGAAGTGGTCGATGGACTAAAATTTTCCAAATTAGCGACTTGTGAAGAAAAAAAAAAGAAACCACAGAAAGGATGAAAAAATTACGTACTGAGTGCTCCTCCTGCTTCACCTCGAGCTCAGTGCCGTCCTTGAATGTCCACTTGACGATGTCGGTCTCGTCGGATGTGCCCTTGACGAACTCGCTCTTCTCGAGCTTGGTCCAGAACTTGCTGAAGTCCTGGAGCTTGATCAGGTGCCAGACATCACTGAAGGGCGCCTCGATGACAGCAGACTCGTGGACGGAGGTGGAGGTGGGGATGGCTGTGGACATGGTGGTTGTATTTTTCCTTTGTTAACAATTGAAGTTGCAGAAATTGATTTCAGTGGAGGTGAAAAGAAGACGTGAGTGGAGATTAGAGTGGATGGTTGAAAGCAGTGGAAAGAGAAGTTTAGGTGGGGCACCATTGCTTGTTGCAAACCTATAGCGTCATGGCAGAGCTCGCGGCAGAGCTAATGGCAGCTACCCCTCCCCCGCGCCGTTCCTGCTTGGACAGTCTCGCCACCCCAGCCTTGTGCAAGACGAGATATCATCGAATCATGCGTCATCAACTTGTTGTAACTGGTTCCTTTGGTGAGCTACTCTCTTGGCACCTTGACATACTTGCTCGTTGCAACTTGTTCTAGATCCAGCTCAAGGAGTCTAAGGAACATCGAATGATTGCCATAAACCAAAGTCTGTAAGTAAACCAATACTCTATACCTAATGGAAAAAAGGAGAGATTACCAGACTACGGGGTATACGTTCTCCTAGTCAAGATACAGCCTCACTCATGTCGTTGACGACCAAGAGCCCTCTTGACACACTTCCCCCTTTCTTTCTCATCATTCCTCGTCCTTCCTTATCATTCTAATGCATTGGTCACTTAACATCCAACTCGGACAATAGAAGCTACCGACAGTCTTGTCAGCCATGCCTTGAGCACACCGTTTTTGTAGCCCAGGCAGCCAATCATATCTTCTTTGCTACAGCCACCGCCACATCGGAGGAAACTAGCCTCCGGTTTCACCGACCACTCGGACGCGCAACACCCTACTGCCTACCTATAACGTGGTCAGACAACGCTCTAGACACTGCATAGAGGAGCTTGTCATCGATGATCCTTCTCGTTGTTTCTGTATGTTTCTGAGGAAACTTGAAATATAGCATGCCATTGGCTTTCGATATCGATGGCGTATAGTGTGACTGACTGGAAGCTGTGGCGATAACAGCGAAGGGGGGTCGCACGTACGTACGCTTGCACGTGCAAAGTGATGCCTGGAGCCTTTTGCTGTGTATAATATGCTTGAAAAGGTAGGCGATATTTTACATCAACCAGACACTCAGTCTACACCTTCTCATCAGTCCATTATCATAATCTACAAATTATCAATATGCCTTCAGTTGCATACATGAACCAGTCAGCGCCTTTCTGGGACTTCATCGCAAGTCTTGAACAGCAAGGCGCTCAACAATCTCGCTCTGGCCAGAACCGCGAAGACGGTGCTGAGAATGAGCAAGGACCCCAGGGTCCTCCGGATCCATTTGCCCCTTGGACTTGGGGCCATGGATTCTTCGGTGGCGGTAGAGGAATGCCTCATCGTGGTGGTCCTCCTCGCGCCCATCATGAACACCAGCCTGCAGGCGAAAAGGATGCAGAGATGGACGATGCAAACGACAATGGGGAGGGCCCATCTGGTACCTCCGGTTCTGATAACGAAGCCCGTGGCGAGGACTGTTCAGGCAGACGAGAACGCCATGGTCGTTGTGGTGGAGGACCACGCGGCCGCTGTGGACCTGGTGGCAGGGGTGGCTTTGGGCCTCGCCACGGTCCTGGACCGCACCATGGATTCGGTTCCCACCATGGCCCTTACCATGGCGGTCGCCGCGGAGGGTGGGGCCCATGGGGACACGGGGGTCCACATGGAGGCGGTCCCTTCGGTTTCGGAGGCAGCCCTTTCGACCCATCCACCTTTGTCACTCATCTTTTCAACCAGTTCAACGACTCCAGTCCTTCGAACGATGACTCTGGAAACAAGGCTAGATCATCCGGAAACGAAGACCACACTCCTGAAGCCGACATTTTCGACACTGAATCAGCTTATGTGGTCCACATCTCCCTTCCTGGAGCTAAGAAGGAAGACATTGGTGTGAACTGGGACGCCGAGAAGAGCGAGTTGAGCGTTGCTGGTGTTATATACCGTCCCGGCAATGAAGAATTCTTGAAGACACTTGCTGTTGACGAGAGGAAGGTGGGCGCTTTTGAGAGGAAGATTCGTCTAGGAACAAGAGTCAACCCCGCAAGCATTGATGCTGATGGCATCACTGCCAAGTTGGAGGACGGTGTGTTGAGGGTTGAAGTGCCCAAGCTGGACTCGGGCTACGTAGAGATCCGCAAAGTGGATATCGAGTAGTTTTCTCGAGGAGCTGGGCGAAGTAGTAATGGGGTAGCATATAGTGGTATGTGGGGATGCTCTTTTGCGTTCTCATACGGAGAATAGGTACTTGTAATGAATATATTTCCTAAGTAGTGAACATCATGAACATTATGCTATTATGTAAGCCGTTCTCATCCATCTCATACCGAGTGACTTGCCATCTTACCCACTTCCGTCCATCCCTTACCGAAGATTTAGGCCTTCCCAGCAACGAGATCAGCACACAACTCTGCTAATGCATAAATAGTGCAAGAAGGCATAGCAGCAATCGGTTCCGGGAAAACACTGGCATCGCAAACCCTAAGCCCTTCGACTCCTTTGACTCTAAACGCATCGTCCAACACCGTTCCCAACGCACATGTGCCCATGGGATGACAAATCGTACCTGCAAACTGCGCAATCCTTGCATCAATTTCTTCATCGCTACTCTTCGTCGTCAGCGCAGAGAACTGCGCACCCGTAGGCGGAACCTCGCCCTCGACCTCCGCAGCCAACGGCCCTGTCTCTACCAAGCGCAAGTTCTCACGCACAGCGCGGCGCAGAATAAACCGATCGGTGCTAGTAGAAAGAAAGCGCGGATCACACACAGGTTTATCGTTGGGATCCGCCGAACTCAACGTTACACTACCGCGAGAAAGCGGAAGCATATGGAATGCACATAGCGAAATATGAGCGCCATCTTCCTTGACCGTGGGAAAGATGGTCGGATCAGCAAGAAAAGGGTAGTAAACCACCAGACTAGCATAGTGGCACCGATTCGGCCGTAGTAGCACATCCCCCTCTTGCGGTTCATCAATGCGGATGCCATCGTCCTTGAGGTACGGAGAAAGTTCTGTATCAGGGATATTTGCGAACAAGCTAAAATCAAAGGGGAGACCCTGGCCGTACGATGGTACCGCGAGCCCGTTGAACGGGCGGGCGTAGCCTTTTGAGGCGTCTTTGAGCTTGAAGAACATCGTTATGGCGTTGTGGTCGCAGAGGTTCTGGCCTACGGCGGGTGAATCGACGGTTTGGGGGATGTTGTGTTTGGCCAGTTCGTTGGCGGGGCCGATACCAGATAGCATCAAGATTTTTGGGGAGACCTGAGTCCCGCATGAGACTATGACTTCCTTGTTCGCCATGATGCGTTTGCCGGAGGTAAGTTCGACTCCAATGGCTCGCTTTGAGTCGTCGAGGAGAATGCGAGCGACGGATGTATCGCAAAGAACCTCGACGCCGCTTAGGTCGTATACTCTGGCACTGTGTTGTCGTGTCGCAGTAGACTCGGAAGTAGCACGCCAGCACTGGGTGATATCCCCCAGACCCGTCGGGTCTCCCCTGGTTGGATTGTACTTGTGGCCCAGGTTCTCTGCACTCTCTTGGAGAATATTTCGGATTGGATATTGTCTTCCACCTACGGTATGAATCTTGCCCTCGAAGCCATAGCGCTCTTTGTCAGCTGTCGCATCGAAATGCGTCTCTAGGCGTTTGTAGTACTTTTCCATGTTGCCATATTTGAATCTTGCATTTCCCGCTCTTTCAGCCATGACGTCTAGATCAGCAGCAGAGGCTCGCATCCACAACCCAATGTTGACACCACTTGATCCTGACAACAAACGGCCTGCAACATTCATGATGTTCCTGCCACCCAGATGCTCTTGTGGTGTGGTTGAGTAATCTATGAGGAAACCTTTCTGGAATAGCGGCATCCAGTTGATTGGGTCTGCGACATTGTCGATAGTGGGATCGTCCACTGCATTTGGACCTGCTTCGAGCAATGCGATACTAGAGTTAGGTAGGTATTCTTTGAGACGAGAAGCAATCACGACACCAGCGGTGCCTCCGCCTGCGATGATGTAGTCGAATGAGGACTCCATTGTGGCTGTGGGATCAGGAATGATTAGATCCAAGCATGGTGTGGTGGGCCACCAACAGAGGGCTACTTATACGTCTTTCAAAGTGAGTTCTTAGTCGTTGATTCGACTAATTTCGTACATTGTACGCGACTGCGAGGGTGAGCTTTTAGTTGTTGGAGGCCTTGCCGGGCGCTTACATGCTCGTCTTGACCAGCTTTTTCTCCTAAATCGGCAGCGCAAGGTGTATTGATCTGCCAATAGATTCTACGGGGCGTATTCTGATTGCAATTGCCTCGGTTAAACAAGGAAAGATGATTCGTTGGGTAAACAAGAATGAATGATGTTAACGTAAGATTGGTGGTCGAACTAGGTTAGGTAGAATACGTTGTAAGACTTCCACGGCCACATCTTCGCCAAAATGATAAGCGTCTGATCAAATCTTACCCCAGAATCTTGTCATGCAATGTCTTTGGTGTATAAGTGGGGTTCTTCATGATAAGCGCGAATGAGATCTGCACTCAAAAGTGACAGTAATGAATATTCCCTTTTTCGTTACCATGATTCGCTCCAACTGGCTCAGAGGCCCGTGTGCATGAAAAATCAATTGGTCAATGTCGAGCAGACACCTTAGGCGAGATGGCAGCAGGATAGTGTCATTCGCTTCGACATGCATCTTCATTCAGGCATGTCCAAACAGGTATGAACTGACAAACTCCGTTTGCCTCCTTGTTTACTTTTGCACTGGGTCATCGATTGGGTGGAGAGGATCTCACTTGTTAGAACATGAGTTTGCAGCCAGCAGAGTGCTGGGATTGCTCTAGCAGGTGGTTGGTAGGTATGTTCGGGGTGATTGTGCCCGATTGGGTTTAGAATTTCGCTATTGTTGATCCATGAGCTCATCTGGCAGGCACATGCTGAGGCTGGCAGTGACCCCTGAGTAGACTACACTATATCTTGTATAGAGTATCCCCGGCGAGGATCCTTAAGTGTATCTCGGTAGTACATATATTCCCAATGTAGCGATGCATCGGTAGATGAAAGGGATTTCCGTTGGTAAACATGGAGCTTGTGACGCTCCATTCACTCCATCAAACGGGTCTCACCTTCCCAATTACGTCAACGCCATCCCTAAAGCTATTTGAACCCACCTCTCACTCTTCACTATTTGACAGCTACCAACTCACATCCAACCACTACCATGTCTTCAACTCGGAAGTTCCCTACAGTTGATATTGAAGCAAAAGACGACATGGTGAATGAGCATACTACCAACAGCGCCCGCACAAACAATACATCTGCGCCTGCACCGCCCAAGCTGGCCCCTACCTCTAGCGCCAATATGCCCTTGTCGGACGTGAACATCGCGAGCAACACTCCACGCCTTGCATCTCCCTTGCACACACCCTCAACACCCGGCCATTTCATCAACCAAGAGCCAAACCCGACGTCCTTGTCCCGCTCTCCAACTCTCGTTTCTAGCATCTTCCCGACCGAGCTACCTCTCCGCACCCCGCCTCGCCCTTCGCTCATCAGCCGTGTATTCAGCCTATCACCGCCGTCTGCGCATGCAGCTCGCGCTGGAAATCGCGAACCTCGCACTTTTCATACACCGGACATTGAGATGGGTAGGCAGGAGCGCTTGACACATGTCTTGCAGCGAGATGAGAGGGCCAAGAAGATCAAGAAGACCAAGTTTGTGTTGCTGCTAATGGGTGGGACGACGCTTTGTTTAGCGATGGGTGTAATGGTGTTTTTGATTGTGAAGTTTTCGGCGGAGGATGATGGACATTAGTGCGTATGGATGGGCGCAGGGATGGATGATTGGCGTCAGGGGATTCCAGGAACAACGGAAAAGAAGGACTGAGTTTATCTCCCTCTGTCTCTGTAAGGCTGAAGAAGTGGGACAGTGAAGTCCGGTTAGGCTGATCAGTTCCTTATCTGACGCGGACATGATGATTTACCGAATGGAAACCAATTCGTCAATTCTTAGAAAATAAAATGAGCTTATGTGTACGGACATGAAAAATTACCCCATTTGGGAAACCATTCGAGCATGCGCAGAAGGCATACGATGTCAGGAACGCCCCGCAGCCAGAATGTACAGAAACATGTGGAGAAAACCTCACTTCGTTTCATTAACAATACATGAATTTTCTTTTGTATTCGCATTAGCGGTTATGATTAGTTATTACAATACATCACTAAATCACTAAATCATCGCCTTCGTTGAGGGCCAGACAGAATGCATCCATCCGCACAAGCCGGGTCGGTACTGTTATACGCAATCTCGCCCACACTCGCACCGGGCTCCACACTCGGATCTCTGGGAATCGAAAACATGCGTCCATCCTCTGGCGCAACTACCGTCTCAAGGATATCGCCAAAAGCATTCAGAACATTGGCAATAGGCTGGCCCTTTGAAACAGGCTCATCAACGCTGACAAGCGTCTCTACGAAACCACCGTACTGCGTGTACGTATCGTGGAAGGTGGTAATGACATAGGTCTTGCTTAGGTCGGGCTCGACAGTCGTGTTGGAAGGAGTGATTTTCAAATCGACCATGACGCGGTTTACGTAGTCGACTACGCGGTTTACGAGGGTGGTGTTCCAGACTCTGGCTTGGCCCATTTCGACGGTGAGAGAGGGGATGCCGTAGTCGACAAACGTAGTCTCGATGGAGCCGGGCTCGCCGACGTCGATTTTCAACGTATCGGGCTGGAGGAGCTTGGCGAGGCGCTCGACGTAGGGGAGGCGGAAGTCCGCATAGCACCATAGAGAGGTGTCTGCGCCCGTGCTGGGAGTGTCTAGTAAACGTTTGTTAGTTGGAAGTTCTAGGTATGAATTTGGGCGTAAAGAACGTACGGAGATCGATACCAACATCGACGTTGCTGGTGTTGGCCCAGATCTGGTTCCAGATGTTGTAGGCAAGGATGTTCGGTCCACTGCCTCCTTCCGTAGGTGCAATGCCAGGGAAAATGCGGTTCACGTTGATAAGAGATCCGCTTCCGGCAGCAGTGTAGTAGTTGCGCTGACTCATGTAGATTCCCATTGGGTTGATGGTCGGGATACCAATGACTAGATCCAGATTAGCCTCGGATTTCAAGATGACGACTAGTAGAACATCATACCAGTGCCATTGAGTGTTGCAACCTGGTCCTGGAGCTGCTCGAAGACGCGCTGAACCACGCGAACTGGATTCAGCTCATCACCGTGAATGGTACCCGAAAGCGACAGTTTCTTGCCTGTGTGCAGACTCTCCTCTGTTCCGCGCGCGACCATGATAGGAATGTAAACCGGGTGTCCGCCATTGAGCTCGCCCGCGCGCATGTAATACTTGGAGACTGTCTGCGGCGGCACGTCCGCCAGGTTGAGGCCCTGAATAACAGGAACTCCGTTCACAACATCGCCGGTGAAATTGAGCGCGTGTGAGCTGCCGACGAGAGCCGCCGTGGTCGCAATTGCCGAGAGAAGCTGCATTTTCGCGTAGAGCTGGCTGAGGCTGCGATTGCCATGCTAGAGCTTACCAACGCCCATTTTATACGTCTACCATGGCCCGATAAGACTTCAACCGTGTTGCTCCAACTGTCCATCCTAATAGAACTGTTTGTCGCAAACAGGAAGGTCGGCATGGGTGTTGTCCACTCAGTGACGGTGCCCAGCCTGGTCGGCTCTTGGCATCTCGTAGTTAACCCGAGTCTCGGGTACTTACGAGCGGTAGGTACAAGTCATGCAAGCTACGGGTTCAACTGATTCAGGGCAGGATAGCCGCGAGTAGATCATCGGTATCGTGTTTACAGACATTCGAATAGCCATAGACTTGGGATCGGGGGATCGTTTCGGCTGTCCCGGTGCGGTGGGACGGAAATTTGCGCGAGTCATAATAACTCGGAAGGAACAGATAAGACGGTACTTGGGGCCTTGTGCTTACTGTGCCGCTTTTCTGAACTATTGGTAAACAAGTATTGTCAAGTAAGAGCTTGCTTTTGCTTCCATTTCCTCATTCGGCAGTATTCAATTGCTGTTCTTGTCATGATGCTGCGCTCACCTTTTACCAAAATAACATCAAACCGTACATTTTTCATGCAAGCGCAACCATTGTAAGCAAAGACAAGTAAGCCAAAGTAGTTACACGAGAAGTATTGACATATTGCAAAAAATTTGTCCACATACTTGGCTAGCCTCTCTCTTTCCTTGTGTAGCAGACACATCAGCAGTAAAACACCAATGAATGAAAGTGCATATCACCGAACTCCTGAAAAGATACCAAGGGAACGACATTATAGAGACGATTGAGAGCCTCAGCCAACAAAACTCCCTGCTAAAGCAATGAAACTATTGTCTACCGTGCCCTTGGTCTTGGTGAGTAAGAACACTCGCTCCGACACAATGCAACATAAGATGTGGCTAATTCTCGACTAGCTAGAGTGACATGACAGTCCGGCCAGTCACCACTTGGCTGCAACCTTACTCATTCTCCGCTTTAGGTGTTGGGGTCTGCGCCTGCGTCAAGTAGTACTTTCGTTATTTTTTCCCTATTCCAAGAGACAGCAGCAGCTCGAAGTGCGTTTTCATGTTTTCCGCCTTGGGCATTGACATCTGCGCCTGCGTCAAGCACCATCTTTACCATTTCTTCGTCATCAGAACAGGTAGCAGCTTGAAGGGCGTTCCAATATTCTCCACCCTGGGCATGAACATCTGCGCCTACGTCAAGCAGCGATTTTACCATTTCTTTTCTGTTATAGCGGGCAGCAGCTTGAAGTGCATTCCCATAGTATCCACCCTGGGCATTGACATCTGCGCCCACTGCAAGCAGTATATGAAACATTCCTTCTCTGTTATAATGGGCAGTAGCTTGAAGTGCGTTCCCATAGTATCCACCCTGGGCATTGACGTCTATGCCTGCTTCAAACATGAATGGTAACAGTCCTGTGAGTCCTTTTTTTGCAATCTCCTGTAGCACGAGCGCCTCACATTCTTCTTCTTTTGCAATCCCTAGTTTCATGTGCAGCAACCGTCTGGTAACCTGACCATACCCTCTAATTGCAGCCTTCAATATGGCCTTTGGCTTGTCGCTTATTACAACCACTTTTATATGATGCCCTGCATTCCCCCATGAAAGTACATGCAGTCCTTCATCATAGTCTTGCAAAGCTTTGGTAGACTGCTGATCTGGCATCAGCCCGACTATCTGACTATAGCATGTCTTCTGGTTTTCAAAGCTTTCTGCTGGCCTTTCCTCAAACAAGAGCACTGTTGGATCATTGACAACTGCTATGCCTGAAATCTTGATTTCGGCTTGGTATGGCTCAAGCGTCTTGTATCCTGGGGTAGGGTTAGAGGGGGTCGCCTCTGTAGAAATTTCTTGTGCTAATACAAAATAGGTAACGTCCAGTGTCGTAAAAGAACCCATGATATCGAGGACATCGTGCATAGTGAATGGGTTTGGTTGGTTTGTTCGCGTCGATTGCAGCAAATATGTAATAACCTTGCGAACAACTTGGGAGGTTGGTCTCAGGTAGTCTATCGCAATATTCTTCGGGTCCTCTAGATACGAAGACATACCAAGCAGGGCATATATCTTGTCGCGCTCATCGGTTGCTTTGCTCCCATGAAACTTGCGCAGAAGGGTTCGTAAGTCGCGTGTTTGTGCCCACCAGGAACTTGACCGGAATGACTTTGCCATTATGTCCAGTATAGGTTGGCAGTGCGGTGGAAACTTTAGCTCCACAAAGGAGAGCGCGAGGACAAAAATTTCAGTTGGAATGGATCGAACGCCGCAACAGACATCGGCTCTACGGGCTTTGGCTGCCTCCTGTAGGATCCAGATCCTTGTGAACCATTCTCGGTTCAAAATTTGCTTTATTGCCATAGAATGATCTTTCCAATTCCAGTCTTTGAACGTTTCTGGATTGTAGTGATAACTAGCATCAGCGTTTCGAAATTGGTTGAGTCTTTCCATCAAGGAGATAATTTGCGGCGTCGCCTTGCCCAACCAGATGAGAACTTTCTCAGCCTTTTCGTATATCTGCCCCATCTGCTGAACTTGTTGACTCTGTTCCACCTTGTCTTCTTGGTTTATACAAATAGCGTCGATCCACAGAATGCGATCCCTATCGCACAGCCGCAGATTTTGCAACACCGCATGTAGGTTATCCGTTACCCAAAATGTCTTTCCATCCAGTTTGATACACTCGACTAGCTCGCTGCTACCCCATGTGTAGGAAAGAGCTTCGTATGGAGGGTGTGCGTTTTGCAGTGACTGCAGGGAGAGCTCGCATTCGAGTTCAGGATCACTCCCTTTAAGTAGCCTCAAGAGCCGGAAACCCGAGTCCTCAGACCTAAGCTTTGAATAGTGATACATATCCGTGGATGAAAGCGGTGTTGTCACAGTACTAGACGTATCTGTGCAAATGTTGATGGGTGTAGCATGAATGAAGGATGTGTAGCGGGGCAAGGGCGATTTTCGGGAAGGCACAGAAAGTGCGAAAGCTCATGCAGCATGTGTTGTCTTCTTATTGTATATATACTGGCAGGTTGACGCTAGGTCAAAATGGTTAGGCGGGGTTCTATGATTGTGTTACGTAGCACAGATTCCAGCGAGGCTGCATTTGAGGGGGAAGGCCCAATCGCTAAGCACTGTACACATGTTCTATGCACGTGACCGTAGCCTCTCTATCCTCAGGTTTGCCTTTCTTCTAGGGGTTGTATTCAGAGTGATATAGATATTCGTTCTTACAATCATTTCTCAATACCATAGTAAAAAGCAAACCAAAGAAGCCCCCTAGAAAGAAAAAGGCACAGTTTGTATAAACCGTCATTCCTCATGACAGCACAATTCTCCAAAAAAAAACTGTATCGTGAGATTATTATTCAAGTTTTTGCTCTTCAACGGCTTTGCTGTCCCGCTTTGAACCTATTCTGGTTTTGCGATGACAGCTTTTGGCTCTACGTAACGCACAGTGCGCTTTAATGTAGACTTCACCGCTAATGGCATCGTCGGTACGGTTATCGTGATGATCTCAGCGTGTGTGTAGTACGTTCGACTAGACGGATTGAAGGACTTGGTTCTGAGAAAAGCAAACGGCTGTGTCTAGTAACGTGGATCAGTATACTGATGGCGTCTAGTTGACCAAGAGGAGAAAGAGGGTGAGAGAGTATGTGTGTGTGTATCTTATTTACGATGTACACCAAAAGCTCTCATATACTTTGCACCTCTGGTCATATCACGATGCTTTAGTCTAGCTGCTTTACTCTGGCCAAGTGTAGTCATTGGCAATAGCGTCGATTTGTTTTTGGCTGCACGACTACTGAATGTAAAGTATCTGCGCTGGATGACAGCGACCAAAGTGCCGGTCTTCTCAACACTTTGCTTTTTTTAAAATAATTTGCTTTGAGGACAGTGGGGATTTCTGAGAGAGAGAAAAAAAAAGGTATATAAGTCTCCAGATTTACGTGTTCAAAATAGTATCACCGGCATCAGCCTTGGACAACTTCAGCCTTGAACTACTTCAACTTTAAACATCACTTCCATCACCCTTACGGAACCAACAATATGCGTGTTTCTATAATCACGACTCTTCTTTTCGGCGGCATTGCAAGTGCGCAATTTGGCTCGGACATGCTTGCTGGCATGCCTATAACGTGCCAGAATGGTACATTTCCATGCTCATGTCCCAGCTGCAATAGTACTAATACAAGTTCCTAGGACAAGCGCCCATTGTCACGTGCGGCGATCCAGCTCCGGAAATGTGTGGATGCACCTGCAGAGACGGAATGATGTTTAACCAGCCCCGGCCTTTATTCTCAGGAGACCCAACCCCACCTCCGCCTCCAACCCCATCCGACCCAATTCCCCCTCCCCCTCCGGTTGTTCCCGAGCCGTACAAGTTTGCGTCAAGACCATGCCTAGGAAGAATCATCAATGACTGGAAGGCTATTGAGGGTTACCATAAGCCTAATTCGCTCGAGAATGGTGAACTCGCAATCGACACGATTGACGTTTCCGAAGACGCCGTCTTGATAGTGACTGATAGGAATTCAAGATGCGAGATCTTCGAGGTATCAGTCGACAACAAAGTCCTAGGTGAGACGTGGAACAGCTCCCCTTGACAACGGGAGTTGCAGAAATGCAGACGATTGCATAAACAAGAATAGAGAGGCCCACAGTTTCTTTTTCGTTCCAAAAGGTAAGTCAATCGAACCAGCTCCCCATGCAGAGAGTTTTGGGCTAATTCTCGAAATATTTAGGACGCCGCACGATCGGCACCCGATGGGTCAAGGTTCCAGAGGCATGGAGGCAATATTCAGATGGCTCTTCGCATTACCAGATACGCGCAATGTGCTAGATGGGCTAACTTTGAACTTGGCAATGGCGGGAAGGCATATTTGATGCAGGGTTGGTTCATGCAAAGGCTTTGCCTGGGACCCTTGACAACTAGGACAGTACCAAATCGCCAGTTGAGGTTGGGTAAGGTGGGCTTGACCGTGGGGAAGGAGGTAAATAGCTTTGTAATTGAGAATTAAATCGAACATTGCACATGATTCATGATCAATATTGCAGTCGTATTTGTAGTGGCGCATACTGTCCGTCTAGACTTGTCGTTTCTGTCTACAGAATAGGTCCCGCCGCTTCAGTGTAGTGCTATGCTTTTACTTGTCTTGTTCAAAGGCATTTGGCGCTTCGAAAAGCCTTCCAGGACAAGTCGTACAGAGTCAATACGACGGGTAGATGGCCAACATAGTATTACATGGGGTCATCACCTACGCTAAGAAAAAAAGAAAAAAAACTGAAACCAGGCGCTTATACTTTTCGTACTCGCTCCTCATAGGCTGCCCATGCAGCTTTCCTGTAGCGTTCTGCTTCTGATTTGCGGTCTTGTGCTCGGACAATGCCACGCCCAACGATAATGATATCGCATCCTTGGTCGTAAATCAGCTTGTGAGGGGTGTTGTACTGCTGGCCAAGGGCGTCTCCTAGCTTCTTGCCCTCTTGACCTGGGGGCGGTAGTTGACAACCTGGAGTCATGGTAATGAAATTGTCTTCGGGCTCTGAGTTCAAGCTGCGCTGGGCAATGAAGCCCATGACAAAGTCTCGATGACTGCGGGCAATTTGAACCGTTGTCTTCTGGTATTCGGGCGTCATGAGGTGGCCCTCGGAGCTCATTTCAGCGAGCAAAAGGAGCGAACGCAAAAACGGCGGCGGGCCGAGGCGGATAAGCTCCGTCGCAGTATCGAGGTTGAAGACGTCTTCTCCGTTGTCGTTGGGTTCGGGCCGAGGCGATATGCTTTCTGTGCGCATGGATATGGAAGTTGTGACGCTCACCACACTCTGCTTCCTGTCGGGAGCACGGATGCTCAGTCTTCTCTCTTCGCCTTCCATCTCAATTGGGGACTCGATGGTGAAGTCGGGGTTTTTCATGTCGTCATCAAATTCGTCGTCATCTTCGTCATCGCCTGCTCCGTTTACCTGCCGTGTAGCGGAGATTTCGGTGTTTACAGAAGTGTTGTACTTGGCAATGGTTGTTTCGGCAGCTTTCTCGAGTGCGGTAACGATGGCGGGACCGGGCAGAACGTGCGCATTTGTGATCTCGGCCCACAGGGCGATGCGGTGGTGTCCAGAAGTGTACTGCTTCTGTACGGTTTCTGGTATGGTGTTAGCGGCTCGTCTAGATACCAGGGTAGCGAACAAACGAGTGGTGGACAAACATACCTCCAATATCAGCGAATTTGCGGTCTTCAAAAATGAGGAAGGATTTGCGAGCGGCGACCTCTCTTAGGGCCTGGGCTGTCCTGTCGGACCAGTCGGTGACGATATCGCAATGTGTTTTGAGCAGGCAGATAGAGTCGCCCACTTCTTCGGCGAGTTGCAGCAGTTCTGCAGAAGTCTCGACATCGGCCGAGAGGCAGAGATTGGTCTGCTTGGCGGCTATCAAACTGAGCAGGTATGATGCCAGAGGACCGGCGGAGGACAACGAGGCCCGCGCGCGGTAGGTGCTGGTGAGAGTGAAGTGGGGAGACATGGCGATGGAGAAGACGGGCGCGGTTCCGGTTGCCAGTCGCGTGTTATGTTCGGTGGTGAGTCTTGTGCAGACTATGGGCGCGGGGTGGTGAGGGGCAGCAACAACGGCAGCAGGCAGGGAACGAGGGAAGCTGCGAGCTGGATGTGTGATTATTTTATAGAAGAGGAAGAAAAAAAAAGGAAGGGAAGATGTCGAGGAAAAAGAAGGAGAGGGAGGGGAGTAAAAGAGGAATAAAAGAGCAGAAGAGGGAGAGGTCGAGTGAGGGGACTTGCAGGCAGAGCCAAAGCCAAAGCCAAAGCCAAAGCCGAAGCGGACCAGCAGGTGGTCAAGGGAAAGTCGACGGGCGCCGGGTCGGCCCAGTCGGCGAACAGTCAGTCAGTCAGTCAGTCAGGCGTGTCGTGTCGTGTCGTGGATACACACATACATGCGTATGTACGTGATGCATCAGCCCATCCATCCATTCATCCACCCACCCATACGCGAAAGGGACAAAAATTAATTGCGCCTGTTCCTGGCGCGGCCCGCTGGCCGCAGATGCTGGCTGGGTCTCTTGCAGCCTGCGCCCCCCCGACAGACGCCCTGTAGACGCAGCTATGCACAGCACTGCCTGCGCATTGGTCCCACGCCCCCCACAAGCCCCGATGACAAGCCCGTCCACCCTTGGTTCCATCCAGGCCTCGCCTTCTGATCCCCCGTCTACCACCGTCCAGCCTGCTCTGCTCCGCCGTCGCCGCGCTCGTGTCGGTGAGCGGGGATACACGCGCGCTTCCAGCCCATCTCGCTCGCCCTCGCCTACCCCGAGCCGCCCGTCGATTTCCCCGAAGCTGCGTATTGCTCTACCTATTGTCCTGCTCCCGTTCGGCACACGCCGTTAGCTGGCTTGACTGCCGATACATGTACACCTAGCACATAAACTATGTACATACACACATACTGTACATGCTCAATCTCTTGGCGTCCTCTCCCCTTACTGCGACTTTGGACCCTATGCCTCAGGAGCATGCAGACTAGCAGATCTCCTGTCCCTTTCATGTTCCCTTCTCTTAACGCGGTACACTAAACCATGTCGGGTGATCAAGGACTTCTCCGCACACGCATCTTGCGCATACACACATACACCACATACGTCAGTTTGCGCCTCGTGGCAGAAAAGGGGAGCGAATGCGAGTTTCAGGACAGGTGTTGGCGTCGCATTCAAAGCTACCATAGTTAAGCCCTCTGTCCTGGATATGTAAGGCACGGACCATTCGCAATCTAACCGCTTTCGGACCATCCACGACAGCTTGCCCCCCCCCCCCAGCAGTGATCAGTGAAGCTCTCAAAATTCGACTTCATCGTCATATAATTCCAAGGTTGAGGAGCCAAATAGTGAAGATGTCATAGGTGAATCACCGCTCTTCGAAGCGGACTTCACCTGGTATCACACACAAGACGTAATTTCCTAAGCCAGTGTTTAAGTTTCGAATTCACCACAGCCTGCTTAACTCACAACAAACGCTCGCTTTTATTGTTGTGACTCACTTGCCATCTTCTCTGCTCTCTTCCATTACACTCAGCAAATTGCGCCTCTTGACTACTTTCAACCTCAACATCATGCCACCCAAGAAGGACACTACCGGCGAAGACGCCAACGTGCTTCTCCCAGGCTTCACTGACAAGGAGACTAAGCTTATTGCCGCCGCGTTCCTGAGCTCCATCGGTCCGGACAAGGTGATTGCCCGCTACTTCTTGCCGATCCAATCTTCTGCACGAACGTGTACTAACAACATCCATATAGTTCGACTACGAGACCATGGCCGCACTGACCAAGAACACAGCTGGCTCGCTCAAGAAGATGTGTAAGTGACGTCCATCCACACCCGTTCGCCCAACTCCATGGCACGCGCTAACTTGATACCTCGTAAACACAGGGCCTCCCGTCAAAAGAAAGGCAATGGAGAGCCACCCGCCCTTTGCCAAGTTCCTCGGCCAGTCTAACGGCGACGCTACTGCATCCACCTCTGAAGCCCCAAAGCTTCCCGCAGCTCCAAAGTCTAGGAAGCGCAAACCTGCACATGAGGCGTCTGAGGATCCCGCCAAGCCCGAACCCGACAGCTCGGAGCCCGATAAGAAACCAACCAAGAAGAAAGCTGCTACTACTGCTGCTGCTGCTGCGACGACGAAAAAGGGTCGCGGTCGGCCGAAGAAGCAGCCCAAGATTGAGTCTACGGACGAAGAGAACTCCGCTGACGGTGGCGATGGCCGTGGTGAGTTTACGTCAAAGAGAGCTGTACAGCGTTGGCTGCAGAGTACTGACTACGAGTAAGATTCCAATGTCGAGTACGACTAGTTCTGCTTTTGATGCAAGAGGCTCATGTCTGTCAGATGCTCTTAATCACTGACTGGGCTTACTTACAACATGTGCCGTTTGGGGGTATGCTGTGCTGGATGTTCATCGCATAGCGCTTCTCAACGTGCTGTATCTTGGCTGATGTACCGTGTCTGGGGCTGTTTGAGTCCGCGACAGCAGCGTACAAGTTTGGGGTTTATAATGCCCCCCATCCATCGTCTCATGAGGATGCTTTGGAACATTGGAAAATGGAGTTATGATGGCTGTTTTTTCTTTACTCTGAATGTGGTATGGGGCATTCGAGAGTATCGAGATTCTAATGTAGTCTGTTTTCACTTCTTCACCTTCTTCTTCTTCTTCTTTTCAGTTCTAGGGACCATCGGACATGGAAGAAATGTGAAAAGTTCCATAATGCATTTCACAGAATTACAATAAATAACCCAATGACTTCGTTCCTTTTCATCTATCAAGTGTTTACTTCAAAAGTATGTAGGGTATTACGCTTCCCACCTTTTTTCTTCTCATCGATATCAACTCTCCAAACATGTCAATGCCCATGTACACTTGAAAAACATCGATTGCATACAACAAAATGCAAGCCCATCACAAACAACCCTAATTTCCCTTATTTCCCCTCTTGCCACCCCTCTTCTTCCTCTCCACATGGCCCAAAAGCGTCTTCTTAACATCACCCAAACTCCTCTTGTTCTTGCTCTTGGCCTTGCCCAGCGTCATCAAAAAGTTCTTCTTGCGCGCCTTGTCCTGGTTCGTCGTACTCTTGCCCTCTGCATGCCGCTTCTCCTTGCGCTTGCCCGCCTGCGACATGTGGTTCGTCTCGCGGTCTTGCTTGGCCATTGCGATCTTCTCTTCCTTGGTGTTCTTCTTGCCTAGCGATGCGGCCAGTTCAATCGTTTCGGCTGTAATGGCTTCGTCGGCGTGGCGCGCGGCGAGGAGTTGGGCCCGCTTGTGTGAGGCGAGAGATGAGGTGATTGTTGATGAGGCGCGCAGAGCTTGGAGTTGTTTTAGGTCGGCGGGAGTGAGAATGGTCGTGGTGAGAAGTTTGGAAATGGACTTTGGTTCTGGCTCTTCGCTCTTGGAGCCTTCCTGGCTGTCGGTTGATGGGCCGGGTGTGGGCGTTGCGCTGCTGAGTTTCGCCTTCTTGCTTGGTCGCTCTTTGTTGTCTTCCTTCTCGTCTTCAGAGTCGCTAATTTGGATATCTTCTCCATCACTCTCGACGTTGATCCATCCTCCTGAGTCGTCGCTGTCGCCGTCACTCTCCACTTCCCATTTCTTCCAGTCATCCTCGTCGTCAAGTTCAACATCACCATTGTCTGCATCAGGATCCAATCCAGCAGCTTCCAACTTCTTCCTACGCTCTTCTTCCTTCCACTTTTCAAGGAGCTCAATGCCTTCAATTTCGCCAATGGCTTCCTCACCATAACGTCGCTCTTTGATTGTACCAGCACGAATGCCCATTGTCGCATCCTTGCCACGGTCACGCTTCTTGAGGAGATCGGCACCGACTTCGCGGTAAAGTGAGAGGAGACCTTTAGCAGCCATCATTGTGCCCTTGTCCTTTGATTTACGGTACTGTGACTGTTAGTTTTCGGCATAGAGGCAAAGAGGCAAGTAGTATAGTCTAGCACATACCATAACCAAGTCTTGTAGCAACGTGTCTGTCATGGCCAGAGGTTGGCGTGCACATATCTCACGAATAGCATTCAATCCTGCCGCAGCGACCTCAGAAGCTGATGCTTCCGACACGAACTCATTCGCAATCTTTTGAACCAGCGGCTCAAGAACATCTGGTGGGACATAGCTATGAGTTGCCTGTGCTAGACACGCAAGGTATGTCGTGACTGAAGCTTGGCGGGGTGTGAGGTGCTTTAAGAAGTACGAATACAATGGTAGGACTGTCAGTTGATGCAATCCGACAAGTCTGGTCACAAGCTGTAGGGCCAGAAGCTTCGTCTCGAGAGCGAGCTTGTTCTTGGAATTCTGGATATGCTTTGAGAAGAGTGTTTCCGCAAAACCCTGTGGGTCATGAAGCAAGTGTAAAGCGCTAAAGTTCAATGGACTATAGAGGGTTAGCATTGAACAGTCGGTAACAGCACCGGGATACTCACTGTGGCGCATTCTTCTTTTTGTCTTTCTTCTTCATGGTGGCAGCTGCTTGCTTCAGTTCACGCGACTTCTTCTTAGTCTTCTTGTTGATGCCAGCTTGGTGCCTCAGTTTGGCCAGGTCCACGTCGTTATCATCATCGCTCTCTTCAGCGGCTGCTTCTCTCTCTTGGTCACCACCAAGGAAGAACCTGACCCCACCCGCAATGGTCTTCTCGTTGTCGCTCAACGCAGCCAATCGCATAACCTCGACTGTCCTTGCGTCAGTCCATATTTGACGCTTCCACAAGTCCCGTGTGATTTTGACAGCCAAGAAACCGCGCGGTGAAGTGGTGTCGGCTTCGAGGAGATTGTACAAAGTTGTTTGTAGCGCTTTGTTGACCTTGTGGTTCGTGGATTTCGCGTTGGACGATCGGACATCTGAGACTATTTTCTGGAAGAGCAAAGTTCGAAGCGACTTTGAATTTGTTGTGATGAGGATGGGAAATAGTGTGTTGAGGAGGGTGACCGAGTCAATCACTTCCTTGTTTTTAAGCAAGCAGATGGCACCCACGACCTTGTCGCGCAGATCCATCTCAAGGACTTCATGGTGTGCGGACAACAGATCTATAAGACTTCGGGGAAATTCAGGGAGAGTCAGATCAGGGTATAGATTCGCCGTGTGCGATACAAATTCTATGAGACTTGAGAAACAAAGTCAGCGTTTTGCCCCACGCAGCATCCATATGGTAGACATACTCTTTCAGTGCAACCAGACCTCCATCTGTAGTTGAAGGATCCGCAAGGAACAAATCAAGCAACGTCCGGTACTGTTGATACTGTTGCTCAAAGTCGTCCCTATAAGATTGGGGGTCCCTCTTCAGCTTGAATCTGAGCGCGGCATGGTCAGACTCGAGCTTTTCCAAAGCGCCGACTTTGCGCTTCATGGTAGTGGACCGAGGTTGATCGATGGACGGGCTGACGGCGAATTATCGTTGGCGAAACTTCACTCAGACCGGACAAAAGGTTTAGAATGGGTCGGCGGTCTCGTACGGCAAGCAATGTGTACTGGACAACGTCGTTCACTCGCGTCGCCGTTGCGCCTCGTTGACTTTGCGACATAGAATTTTAGTGGGGCCATGCCACCAATTGGCTGGGTCGGGCCGACACTGCATCCGGGGAGCTTTGGCCTCCTTCACCGTAAAGATTTCACGATGCTCGACAGCCTGCGCCAGCTTTCTTCCGCCGCGCAGTTTCAACTGGCGCGCACCCACTCTTCAACAAGCTCTGCCTGAATCTTGTGTTACACATCTTGATTCGAGGTCAGCTTCTGCATCCTCGAACGACAGACACGGCAGCACTACTGGGGCCAGCGCCCGCCGTCGCCCACCATGACTAGCTTCTCTTCCATGTCGCTGTACGCCTTGACGGTGAAGCAGCCTACAGCGACACAGGATGCCATTTCTGGTGACTTCCTCGGAAACGGCAAGCAGCAGATCCTCACTGCGAGCGGCTCCCGGCTGGCCATCCTCGAGGTTTCGCGGCGGCAGAAGGGCTTCCAAGAGCTCTACTCGCAAGATGTATTCGGCATCATCCGTCGCATTGCCAAGTTCAGGATTGCGGGCGGCACCAAAGGTATGTCGGGTCCCCTTCCCCGCTACAAGCAGTATAGTGATTTTCAAAGCACACGACACCTTCGAGCTCGCCGCTCCCTGAGCCCGCGGTGGACTGGACTGCGTTTCCTACTAAGAAAAGAAGCCTTGCTGACTCTGTAAGACCACATTGTCATAACCACGGACTCTGGACGTTTAGTTACGTACGAGTACCTTCCTGATGAGCACACCTTCAAGACACTTCACTTCGAGACATTCGGCAAGTCTGGAATACGACGTGTCGTGCCAGGCGAGTACCTGGCAGCCGACCCGAAAGGGCGCGCTATCATGATTGCCTCGACGGAGAAGAACAAGCTGGTCTACATCCTCACCCGAAGTGGGCAGACCGATATTGCCATCTCCTCTCCACTGGAGGCGCACAAGCCCCAGACACTTGTCTATTGTCTTATCGGTCTCGATGTTGGCTACGACAACCCCATGTTTGCAACGCTCGAAGTGGATTACTCCAATTCCGAGACTGATCCTACGGGCGAGGCTTACGAGGAGATCAAGAAGGAGCTTGTGTACTATGAGCTGGATCTGGGTCTCAACCACATTGTACGAAAGTGGTCTGAGCCTGTCGATCGCACAGCAAATACTCTCTTCCGGGTACCCGGAGGCCCAAGTGCACCGAGTGGTGTATTGTGCTGCGGAGAGGACAGCATCACATACCGTCGTATCTTCAACAACAAGTCAAGCGTCCGCCGCCTGGCAATTCCACGCCGCGAGGGCGCTACTGAAGATCCTAACCGAAAGCGTATGATTGTCGCTGGTACTTTATACTCTCTCAAAGGTGGCGACTTCTTCTATCTTCTACAGACAGAAGATGGCGATGTATTCAAGCTTACCGTTGACGCTCCCAACGGCACGGTCGAGAAGATCAAGATCAAGTACTTTGATACCATTCCTGTAACGACAAGTATTTGTATTCTCCGGGCGGGTTTCGTCTACGCTGCGTGCGAGTCTGGAGACCGCATTTTGTATGAACTGGAGTCGCTGGGTGACGAGACTGATGACCCAGTCTTCGAAAGCAGTCAGTTCCCCGTTGACCCTGAAGCCTCGTTTGCACCTCCGTTCTTCCGTCCTCACGCTCTGGTCAACCTCACTGCGGTAGAGGCTATGCCAAGTCTCAACCCGATTATGGATATGGAAGTTGCCAATCCTGCATTGGAAGATGCGCCTCAGATATACACAATCAACGGTACAGGTGGCCGAAGTTCTTTC